AAAAAAAAAAAAAAAAAAAAAAAGCTACCGCGCTTTCGCGCGTTAAACAAGGAAGAAACGCGAAAGGGATTATTCGTCCACCAGCGTAATAGATTAAACTTCCTTCCTAAGAATTACGGGGCGGTAAAATTACTGTAGTAATAGGGAGCACGTGAAGTATGACGACCTCTTATAAAAGTTTCGAGTAGTTTTCTAATTTAAACTCTCTCGGCCGCTTCCCTCCGGTTCATTAAAACCCCTATTTTATCGCGCGGAAATATTTATGTAAATAGCGATCCATCTTGCACCGACTTGCACCTCCGTCAACGGAGGGGGAACAGAGGAGGAGAGGATAAAGAAAAAAGAAAAGAAAAAAAGAGAGAGAAGCTCGATCGAACCTTGGTCGACAGTGAACCGTAAAAAGGACACCGACGATCTCGAATTTCTCGATCGAGGAATGTTATCCGTTTAATTAAAAAAAAAAAAAGAAAGAAAGAAAGAAAAAAAAAAAACGATCGATCGAAGGTGTTAATCGAGGAGAATTTCCACGAGATCATACATCGTTCATTCCCTTGTTTCAGAACACCGACGGGCTTGGAGGACGTTAGCAAGTATCCGGAGCTTTTCGCGGAGCTGTTGGCGCGTGGATGGTCGGAGAGAGACATTCAGAAACTGGCAGGCCTGAATCTGATCCGAGTGTTCAAGGCGGTGGAGAAGGTGAACTTTTTTTCTCTCAAGAATCAAAAAAAAAAAAAAAAAGAAAAAAGAAAATAAACGCTTCCTCCCGTTTCTCGTCGCGCGAAAAAAAAAATGAGAAACTCGGCAGAAACGAGCCCTCGATCCTCTCTAGCGCGAAATAACCGATGGTCGGAAACCGGGTTAGCCGAGTCGACCAATATCGGATTTAATAAAGCGCACAAATCATGCATCCGCCTGTGCATCGTCGAGAGAGACGAATGGACCCGGCCGCGATTTTTGTTCTTTTGGAGTCCTGCCAATCCACAGAACCAGCTGCCCCCAAAACCTTCCTCTTTCCATGATTTGCGCCGATCCACCTGATGTGCGAGTAGGCGTTCGTTGCGGGAATTGTAAGCTCTCTTTCCTTATTTCTCCTCTTTTTCGTGCCACCCTGTCACGCGTTAACGTTTATCCTCGTTTCGCGGATAAGGGAAAAGTAACGAGGGACACCGATAGAGCAGAAAGAAATTTCGAGATACCTTGAAAATTTTACGAATTTTTTATATACGACGTGGTGTAACGATCATTTCAAAGGTAATGGACGTAAAGTTTGATGAATTTCTTTTTTATACACCTTAAAAAAATATTTACGTCTTAAAAATATTTCGAGATATTTATCGTTTTCTCCGCGAGTAAAAAATCCTTGGGAAATTTCAATCCTCTGGAACAGCTAGACAGATTTTCTTGTTAGCAACGGATATCGCGACATTAATTTACCGAGTTCAGAAGGTGGAGAAACGAGTCGCGTACAGTTTACCTGCATCTGACAAGCGAACGAATAGAAAAATTTGCATCTCTCCCGTTCCGACGTTTCGTATAAACCCGCCACGGTTTTTAAAAAGGTATTAATAATTTCACTTTTCGAGTACACATTTTTTTACTTATTCCGCCTCCTCCTTTCTTCTCGTCCTTTTTTACTCCCTTGCCTCTCTCTCTCCTCTAGCCCGTTTCACGGACTAGTTAAAAATCTCTGAATTCTTAACCGAGAGAACAGTGTGTATCCGAATGATATAGCGGGATATTAGTCGAATTACAGGACAGGTTGTAATGGGGGAAATTACGCGTATAAATAGTGTCGGTTATTTGATGATCCTCGACACGGCCGTCGCTGAAATTACAACGATAATTTAATCGCGATCTCCCTCCTCCCTGCCCTCGAGCGCAACGTAACAGTAACACCAAAGCGGATTTCGTTAATACGCAAAAGTAACGTGAAACGTGCTCATCGCCGAACGTTGAAAACTGGGCTTTCACCCTCGAACGAAACGAAACGAAGCGAAACGGAACGAAACGGAACGAAACGGAACGAAACGGAACGGAACAGAACGAAACGAAACGAATCGCTCGTTTTTCGGCCAAATTCGCAAATACGAAAAAGACGAGAGAGTTTTCATTGATCCAATTAAAAGTAACAAAAATTCACGCTGGACCGTGAAGGAAAAGCAAATTATTCGCGCGACGAAACGCACAATTTCCACGAGAAGTATCCACGATATTCGTGAGAACATCGATTCCCTACGAATATATCCTAACCTATTCGAGGTAACGTTAATTCATCATCGACGAAACGCAAGTTTCGAGTAAGCGTTCGTTCGAACCGCGTTGTGTTGCGAAACACAGAGATTCGAACGTTTTTCATTTTCCTCGCTAGAGAATGAAATCCTCTAGCTTTCCGTCTCGTTACCGGAAACGTGGTAATTGTTAAAACAATAGACAGGTCTACCGCACAACGAAACTCGCTACCGGTGAAATTGAATTTCCACGTGAATTTCCTTCCTGAACGGATGAAATTCGGTTGCTGCGTTATTCCCTCGTTTCGAGGAAAAAGAAAAAGGATTAAACGTAAAGATATGATACGTAAAAAAAAAAAGGAGACTCGTTATTGTCTCCCGTTAATCGAGTCTCGAGAACCGAGATCGTGTGAGACGACACAATTGTTCCTGAAAAGAAACGAGAGAACTTTCACGACATTACTCTAGGATAAGATCTGACAATTAAGGAGTTTGGTACACACATTCGTGCCGACGAATTCTAAGGTAACGGGATCAAACGGTGGACAGGTTAAGTACGGTTGGATAATTACGAGACAACCTTCTCCTATCTCAATGTAATACATTTTCGCGTATAACCGTAGTTGGAAACGTGTCTCTCCTCTAAATGGTTGAAACGATCTAACCTTAAAAATATATATACGCGGTTTCGTGCGCTATCTCGCGCACCGGTTACGATCTCGAGATGACCGGTTCAGCAATACGAGGTTATATATAAAATTACTACTAAATTTCATTGCTAAATGTCATAATTCAAATTCATAATTTTTAACAATTTTGGAAATAGTTTATCGTCGCATTACGTCGTTAATCTAAAGGGTGACTGCAATAATTTTAAAGTTGCACTCGTGTAACTTTATGTTTCGTCAAATTGGCTTTCTTGGCAAGGTGAGCGCAATGAAATAATAATTTCGCCAAACAGTCGGCGAATATTATTCAGACCTCGTATGTGCAATAAGAAAGGTTGTTACGAGTTGGAAATAGGGAAGAAGAAAGGGAAGCAGAGCAGGTTTGATTAAAAACATTAAGGATTTATGAAGGGCGCGAGTTCGACGAGAACCGGTTCTTATTCGGTACCGACCAATCATCTCGCGACGCCCATTAACATTTTAATTTCCCCGACGATTCTCCCGACGGAATGTTCTGCGGCGGCAACCGCGCCCACTCGGTAGAGAGGGGGAACTTAATTCAAAGATAAAACGTACGCAGTATCAAGAAAGAAACGAGCGTATATTAGAGCAAAGAGACGTTCGTAATGTGGTGGACGCTTTATCGCGGTAGATACGAGCTGCATAGGTCGACGATAAAACTGGATTTAATTTAGGAAGAATATTGAAATCGTTGGCACGCATCGAAACTTCGTTTCCTTCTCGAATTTCTGATTTTTCCTTCTTATTGAATATTCGCCAAAAATCTTTTCGTTCTTTCGTTTGAAATTTAATCGATGTCCGATACAAATTGTTAAACGTATCATCTTCAAACATATTTTTGAACAATTTTGGAAATGATTTATCCTTCCCTGTCGTTAACAATTTTAAGTTGCACTCGTGTACAACACTTTATGCTTCGTCAAATTGGCATTCTGGAAGGCGAGCGAGAATTTAACAATACAAAGGGATACGAATACAAAAACTCAAAGCGGATCGGATAAATAACGGTATCTCTATGTTTTACAGCCACGGGGGCGCAACCGCTTGTAATATCTTTATTTTTCCATCCTCGTAGATGTCCGCTAGGTGGACAAAACCGGTTAAAGGATCGTATCTCGTTGATCCAGAAAACGGAAACACCCTGATCCCGATGAAAAGCTGGGAGGCTCCCCATTCGAAGCCAGTCGTTGCCGTTAAACCATTAAAGGACAAAAACACGGGGAGGGGGAGGGCAGAATGGAGGAAAATAAAGGAGAAAAAAGTGGAGGAGGGGAGGGAGGGTGTAGAAAAAAAGTTGTGAACATCGGTTACGCGTTCGCCAAGCGGCACCGCCACCGAAAGCCTCGGCCGGACTGTAATGGCCGTGGAAGGTTAATGGGCTTACCGAAAATTGATGGTGGGTGTACAGTAGTCGCATGAAATACGCGCACCGCCAACTTTTTCCCTCGACACAACCTCGCCTCTCGCCGTACACCTTTGCCCCCTCCCCTTTTTCTCCCCGACCGACGATCGCCCACCGTGATTTTTCCTCCGAGCATTCGCCACGCCGTGTGCACCCCATCTCCTTCCTTCCCCCTTCCCCTCCCCCCTCGAAACGAAATCGCTCGTGAACCCAGCATCACGTGAAAAATATCGATTGACCCGATTACATCGTTTATCCCGGGATTATCGAGTTCGCGCGAAAATATTTGCATTTACTCGAGGGAAGAAAATCTTTTTCTCCCCCTCTTTTTTTCCTGCCTGAAAATCGACGCACCTTCCTCGTCCCCGTCCGCCCCGTTCGATTCATTCATTAACGAATCGAGAGGAGAAACGAGCAGTTTCTGTTCCCAGGTTCGAGACGACATGGCCGCGGATGGGGTGGAACCTTTGGAGGAGGAGATCCCGCACGAGGATATAATCGGTCGAGATTACTGCCGTTACAACGTGAAACGACCGATCGCCCCATAATCGTGGTTGAGAATCGACTGGGAGAAATAATGGCGAACGGTTGAAGAATACGGAAGGGAGGCATTTCGAATAAGGAGATCGCAGTTGCGAGAACGAAACTCGCTTCGAAGGCAAGATTCCAGAGGCCTCGTAATTCTTTGCATCCGAATCGAGCTCCTCGAGTTTCCTTTCTCTCGATCCTTTTCCCGCTGTTATCCGCGATTCTCGGCCGCGTAAGTGCGTAGAGCAGATAGAGCAAACTCGATCTTCTTCCTTTTCGAACATTGCCGTGTCGCGAACGATCTCGCGGAAAAATGTGGAGGAGAGTCGATGAAAGGGTGAAAGAGCTCGATTCGCGAGATTTCATTCATCCCTTCCGGAAGGGAGAACGATGGATCGTTGCGAGACACACGATGCACGGAGAGAGGAACGTTGGAGGAACTTTCGAAGACCAAAGGCCGGCGTTCGGCCGTCGAACGCTTAAGAATTTAAGCTGCCATAATCGATGTGTTTAATATTTGCACTCAACGATTTTTTTTCGTCGATGCTGGAACCAAGAATCGCGCGTTCTAGTCAATATGATAAATTACATTATGTATAAATATGTACACATAACGATCGATTTCGCGAACGACTGACACCGATCGTGAGAAATCACTAACGGTGACTATTATTCGATTCGAGTGGACGACTGCTTCGATGTGTGCCCGTGTATGCGTGCGTGTGCGTGTGCGAGAAAGAAAGAGAACTAACGATGTTTGTACATACGGTACCTGAAGTCGATGAACATATTGAACAATTCCTCCTTATAGAACAAACCGACCAGACAAAATTTTCAATCGGAAACAATTCAATTCTTGATTCTTGAAAAATCAAGCGAATAATTACTCACGTACATGATACGTTTTCGTTAAAAAGAAGAGAGAGAGAGAAAGAAAGATTTCGTATTCGTTCGTAAAACTCGTAGTATCGATCTCGATTTAGAAGATTCTTAGATGGCCGGTTTGATCAGACTGTCGCGGAGGAAAAACTAGATTAACCAAATTAGGCTCGAAGAAGCTTGAAAAAAAAAAGAAGAAAAAAGCGAAAACGTTTGACAAAGTCAACGGAGTGCGCTTTCCGACGAGAAAACTTTTTCCTACGATTTTGCACGATCGAAGTTGACGTCGACACGCGCGTCGATGTCCCGTTGTCACGATGTGTTCACAACGATGACATTTTCGAACGCGTCTCATTCATTGTAACCACCACTTTAAGGCTCGTATATTCTAATTAACGCACCGAGTAAATATCCTTTCTTAACGATGTTTTTACACTAAA